TCTGCACGGAGGAGGAAAGAAGGCAGAGAGAGGAAAGACCACACACTGTCTCACTCTCTCCCCATGAAACATCCAGAATGAGAAAATCGGTAGACAGGAAGGCAGAGGGGGATGAAAGAAGAGTGATTGTTGAGTGAATACGGGCTTCTCTGGGGGGTAATAAATATTTCAGATTTAGAGAAGAATGTTTGCACATCACTGTAAACACAGTGAAAGCTACCAGACTGTGTGCTTCAAAATGGTTGAAATAGTAATTTTATATTATGTAAGTTTTACTATGTGTTTAAAGTAATACTGGCTTGAATCTCCAGTTAAAGAAGTGAAAACATCCCTGTACAAAATACTTTCATGTAACCGATCTCCTTTCCTGTGTGCATGTGCACACACATGTGTGTGCGTTTGTGTTTAGTACCAGAGTTCACAGTCAGGGACACACACATACCAGGCAGGCACCAGGTTAAGCACTCCCCCCAGCCCGAGGGATTTTAGGAGTGATACACAATGTCCCGCACAGCTGATGGCCTGTACTTATTTCCTTTCCTCAGTCACCAGTCTGGGGCTCTCCTATGGCATTTTTGGTTTGCCCTTTTGCCAGTGGAAGCTTTGGCTTCTCCAGTACACTCCACGCTCAAAGGTTCCCTGAATCGCTGAGCTGTTTTGGTCATCACTGACTGAGGCAGACGTGTGGAACCCTCTCCCTTCTAAATTACATTAAAATGTAAAATCAAAATACCAGCACGTTGGTTGCCCCAGTAAGAGGAAGGATGTGATTTTCCAGAGATCAGTAAGCTGACTCTTTGACATGAGATAAATAAATCAGAAGCAACTGATCTCCTGGAAAAAACAAAGAATGTTAACACGAACTGCTCAGCAAGCTGCTTACAAAAGACGATTTTTCTCCCAACAACAAAAGAAAAAATTTTTTTTACTATTAGGATGCTGAATATAAGATGTTGCTTAAGTAATCAAGACTACAGAATATACTATGTACTCCAAATTTAATTTTTTGAATAGCAAACTTCTGTTGAGTGGACCATACAAGTGGAAAAGCTGCACAGATTAAAAAGCTGGGAAGAAATTAAATTTAAGAGCATTATTTGTTAAAGCAGCTTCAGCTGGATCAGAGAACATAGTTATAAAAAAGCGTGGAAAAGTAAGACTGGGGGTTCTGACAGTCAGAGCTGTTGTCAAGCAATTTCAAAAGTGTTTTCCTGAAATTATGTTACAGACCTCATATGTAGTTCACAAATAACCTCAAAGAAATTTTCTATATAGAAAGTTATGCTTAGCTGGCCATGGTACAGGACACCTACAATTCCAGCATTTTGGGAGGCTGAGGCAGGAGGATCATAAGTCTGAGCCCGGATTGAGCAACTAAATTCGTCTGACCCTTCGTCTGTCTCAAAATATAAAATAATACAGGGGCTGGGGATGTAGATTATCAAGTTCAATTCCCAGGGCTACGAAAAATTCATGTTTATCTTTTAAAGCATGTCTATTTCAACGCTGATATTAATAGATATATTCCAAACAGGCAGAAGAAAAAGTAGGGGTTTGGAATAATTTAGGTTAAACAGAAAAGAAAAACAAACTCCCTCCATTTCATGCCAAGGGTGTGGAACTCAGGAAGGCCAAGGGAAGAACTTTCAGCCGGAACCACCCGGAGGATTGTGGCACAAGTAATTCAGATCCAGAGAAGCTAAACAGATCTGGTTCTTGGGCTGTTTTTGTAAGGAAATTTGAGAAATAAAGAAACCGAAACCAACCTGCTGAGGCTGAAGGGGACTTGATGAACTAATGAGTATCACTTTCCATCCAAATGAGTGCGGTGGAGGAGGACAGGAAGAGTCCCATGGCCCAGGACTGCATGGTGGCTGCATTCTAAAAGTGCCTCCCCAGGACACAGAGCTGACAGCTGTGCAGCTAAAGCAGCCCCACAGCCCAAGAGGGAGAGGAATGAAGTCAGAGGTGGAGCAGAGGGCCCCTCAGGCCCGCTCTGGGTTGTCCCTGGTCCCCTCCTCCAGCCTCAGGTCCCAGCCCAGCACTGCGACCATGTAAAGATCTAGTGATACCACTCTCCGGGCTCCCTTCCTCTGGGGAACAGAAGTCCAGAAGGAAGGAGGATCACATGGAGTAGGATCACCCCACCGCTGGCTCCTTGGGGTTCCTCATCCCAGGAAGGGTGACGCTGGGGTGGGAATGGAAGAGCAGAAAGAGCAAAAATGCTGCTCTGCCTTTGAGGAAAGATGTGCTCATGGCCTCCTTTCAAGCACCATCCTCCTCTGTTACAGGCGTGGGGCAGCTAGCGTTGGCTCCAAGGCCATTTTAGTTCCAGGTGAGCCTGCCACAGTGGGAGAGCAGGTGGGCGGGGTACAGATTGAAGGACTTGAGGGGCTGGGGACAGGAGGGCCTGTTCAGCAGGAAATTTTAGGCCCATAAAATTCCCTTGGGCCGGGACAGGTCAAGCTGGTCACCTCACACACAGTGATTCATCAGCCACAAACAGCACCACCACTTAGGCACTGTCAGGTGTCTGTGCTCTGCCTGTTTGTGACCCTGCGGGCACTTCTTACAACCAAATCCAAGGCTGGGTCAGAAGGCAAGGCCAGGGCACAGGTGGCTGTCGCTGTCACAGGGCACATTTCCTCTACTAGGGGCATAAAGGTCACCTCTAAGAATTTGGGAAAGAACAATCCTTGTTGCTGCTTTTCAGGGGTCCCTGGAAATCAATTATTTTGGAAAAAATAGAATTCATTCTTCCCTCACTAAAGGATCTGGAAACAAGCCTCTCGTTATGCACACACACACACACACACACACACACACACACACACTTGTTTCCTACATGTGTCTTGATGCTACAAATACCATCTTTACTGCCAGTGAGAAAGCACAGACACCTGTGGCCAAATCCCCAGGTCTGGAGGGTGTTCATGGAAGGAGAGTGGAAGGACAGGTCAGAAAGGAATCCTGCAGAAGACCAGAAAACCAGGATTGGGTGGCACCAGGCATGGGGCTCTGAGGCAGAGCTCAGATCCTGTGCAAACTAACTTCACTTCTCCCTTCTCAGATCTCAGCAAGGTCGGACAAGTTTTCCCCTGACTTCTGAGTCCACACCAAAGAGGTAGGGCCAGGAGAGCTGGGAGTGGACACCTGGTCTACCCCATCTAAAGCCACTCTGGAGAACGGTGTCTGAATGCCTGTGGTGGCTCCAGGCAATGGGAGGCCCACTCCTGGCCAGCTGCGGCCAGGGAACCTGGGCTGGGCTGGGCTGTTCTTGGGCTAACTTCTCTGCTGTCGAAGATCCTGCATCTTTCCAAGGAGACAAGGAGGTAAATAGCTAGCCTTTACGGTGGCCTTTCTCTTACAAAGCCTTAGTCCTTCTCCCTCTTGGTTCTTGCTCTGACCTCCTCTCCTTCATCCCTTGCCTTCCCCTCAGGGCTAAGGAAAAGGACTCACAGCTCCACAAACCCCTGCTCTGAAGACTTAAGGGCCTGCACTCTGGGGAATGGGGTTGGCAAATATTTTAAGACACAGCTCCCAAAGTCAACCTTCCAGTTCCCAAATTCTAACAGTGACAGTCAGTGCCAAGCTTCCAAACTGCCAACCTTCAGCTCTCCATTTAGACCACCCAGAGGTGGCCCTATCAGTCACACTGCCTGTAATCCCCAGCGCAGCAGCAGACTGTGCTCGGTTTGGACCATGCCAGGTACACGGCCAGCTATGCTGGGCAGTCTGGGCGCGGATCCAAGCCTTCAGGCCAGGTGTGGACGCTCCCAGTCCTGTCCAGACCAGCCTGCTCCAGCAGTGTGAACTCACACATGCCAGCCCCCAGGAGGGACTCTGGGTGCACCCTACAGAGGAGGGCCTCAACATGTGGTGCCCTCACAGACTGCTAGGTCTCCAGACTATCTGCAGAGGTCCCCTGGGCAGTTTTTTGGAGGTGCAGCTAGGCTTGGTAGTGTATCATATATTTTGTGATACCCACTGTGTTGTTTAAGCACTTAAGAAATTAACCCAGAGGCAGCGCCCAGCAAGGGCACAGGGACAGGTGACTGGACAGGACATTGGACATGTGACGTGTTCACGGCTGCCTGACTCCTCCTCACCTTCCAGGAGCTCTTATTTTCGGCTAAACAGATCCAGTCCAGAATTATTTCCTAGGCCCAACCTTGCCCACCTCACTGCCCTCTATGTGGTACCCCGGAAAAGTGCACTCTGGTGCACTGTGCAGGCATCAAGCCAGCAGCGGCTCCGCAGCAAAGCTCCGGCCAGGAGCCCTCCCCTTCCCCTGTGCTCCTTGCCCAACCTGGGAAACCTCTCCCTCATCCAGGGCTCCCTTCCGCAGGGCCATTTGACCTCTAAAACACACAGCTTCGTGCCAGGCTTGGAGGAAAAGAGGACAAGGTCAAGGCCTTAAGGTTGACCTCTGCGATCCCTCGCATCTCCGCCCTCCAGCGAGTCCTGCGCACCACGGCTGAACAAGGAGAGCATAGCACCCACCACACCTGGCACTTAAAGCCCTGACCCTATTTCCGGCCAGCCCCAGTCGGTGTCCACCTACTTCCTCCCCTTTCCCTCTTTCCTGCTTAGCGCGCTTTTGAGACGTTAAGGTCAGATCTGCTCTCCTGTCGCAGCCCGGAGGCCCCACACCGCAAGCGGTCCTGGCCTCCTCAACCCCACGCCAGAGCCCAGGCACACAGGGGTCACCATCCGGACGCGCTCCGTTCCCTCCCCGAGCAAGCCTCGCTCCCCGCCCCGCCCAGCGCGCTTCCCCGTGGGAAAGCCGCGAGCCCACCCCGCCTCCTGCGTCCCGCCACTTGGGTCTCTTTCACTGCCTGGGAACAAAGTCACCTGGAGGTTGAGAGCAGGGCCCCAGAGAGGGGGGAGGGGAACGACGCTCTGAAACCCAGAAAGAGGGGCTCGTTAAGGGGGCGCCTGCGAGCGCGCCTGGGAGCACCGGGGACCCTCCCCGCTCCCAGCGGCCGGCGCGGACTCACGGGGTCTCGGCGCGCGGCGCTCTTCCCGCTCCGGCGAGGGCTGGTTTCGGGGCTCCCCCTGTCTTCTCGCGCGCGAGGGCAGAAACAAAACAAAACGATCACGGGACGCCACTGAGACAGGCCGCTCTCCCTTCGCCCGGCGGCCGCGTGTGACCTATAAATAGCAAACTTTTCGACGGAATCAACTAACAAACCCGGGGAGCGTGCGCACATCGCCCGGGATCGTTCCCTTGCTGGGGACGACCCGGTGCCATCGCCCCCTCCCGCGCCACTCGCCCTGCTGGGGAGAGGAGGGCGGTGTTTCATTTTCTTAGAATTTCCAGTTTTGTTACTTTGGCAAGCCGGGGGCCTCCGCCGGCTCTGCCCTCCCCGCCCCCAGGGACGCGCGCGGGCTGGCGCGGAGGCGGCGAGGGAGGAGGATCCGAGCCCGCGCTGCGGCGGCTGGGGAGGGATAGGGGTAAGGAAATACTGCGGGGACCTAGGGTTTTCCGGAGGTGAGAGGACAGGAATTTAGGTAATGCTGAAATCTGGAGAAAAGTGCGAAAAGGGGAGCTGAGAGGCCCAGCAGGGAGCTCAGCGCAGGATCCTTCCTCAGAGCAACAACAGCGCCCGCTGGCCGCAGCGCCTGAGCCCTCTGTCTCGATGGTCCGGCCGGGGGAACCAGGAGCACAGCGCGCTCGGGTGCTACACCTGCCTTGCAGAGCCTGGCCAGGCCGAGTCGAGGGTGGTGAACGATTGTTTTGAGTCTCATTTTCTCTGTAGAGCTGCCTCAGGACAACAGACACTTGGTGTCCGCTCCAAACGTCCCCACTGGAAGAGGCAGTGTTGCTGTATTTATCGTGGATGTGCCCCCAAATACGCAGCAAACCCAGGGTCTGCAGGAGCATGGACCTCCAGTAGGGTGGGTGGGAGCCTAAAAAACCAGGGCGCCGCAGTACAGGCTGATGCCTGTGAGCAGCGGCAGGCCAGAGTCCGCAGGCAGCACCCACCCTAGGTCGCTTGCCAGGCCTGAGGGTAGTGGCCAGGCGTGCCCGAGGCTGCCGAAGCCTCCAGCAGAGAAGGGAGAGGCTCGCGCTTTCCTGCCACCTCCGCTAGGCGCATGGACGCAGCAAGATCCAACCTGGCCTCCATGCTCAGGGCAAATACTACCAGGCACGCCAGTGCGGCCGCCAGTCACCTCTTCATCCCTGCAAAAGTGAATGTGTTTGTCCCAGACCCCAGACGAGTTTGGGAGGAGCACGAAAGAGGTAAGGCGCGGTAAGGCGCCTTCCTTCCAACCCGAGCTCGGGAAGCCCTGGCCACGCTGGCCAGTCTTGTCCAGATCCTGGGCAATGCGTTGTGGCCGCTTGGCTTAGCCGATCGTAAGGGCGCAGCAGCTGAGGCTTGGTGGATGGAACCCGGGGATCCCGGAGCACCCTGGTCCGGTGCGCGCAGAGAGCTGTGGACCTGTCCCAGCTGTCCTTCTGCTCTGGTTTTGGACCCTGCCACCTCCTCGCCCTGCCTCATGCCCCAAACTGCCGGGGACGCTCAGCCAGGAAGCAGGCGGTTTATTCCAGGCCCTAGTCCTGGGCAGGCGTCTCCCAGCCAGCCTCCACACTTTCCCTAGGCCGCGCGGTGCTTTGTGGGTGCAGGCCAGCGCCTCACCTGTGCCCTCTGCCGCCTCTGTGTACCCAAAGGTCCGCCACAATCTGACCACATTCCCCAGCTTAGAGACTATAGAACTCCACCAAGCAAGCCGGGCAAGGCTCCTAGAGGGGGAGCTGGAGGTCAGGTGGGCGATCTAGAAGCTTCTAGGTGTTTGTACTAGGGGAACAGACCCTGTAGGGACAAAGACGAGGGACACAGAGTCCCTGCGGTTGTCTCCCATGCCAGGTTCACGTCTATTGTTTTACGCCTAGGGCGTGAAGCTGCCTGGCATGATAGATGTATTTAGATCCCATCACTGGGAGAAAACTTCTGGTGATAAGGGTTATCTGCTGCTCGAGTTATCTTGCCATCACCCCCATTTATCTCGCTCTTGCTCCAGCCCCTCGGGACAACGAGGAGGGTGAGGCGCTCGCAGGAGGACGGACTGAACCGCTGCCCTCTGAGGGAGCGAAGCCGGCCAGGCGCGAGGCCACCTGAGCACCCCTCGCGGCTCAGGCTAGGGAGCGAGGACACCGAGGGTTTCTCTGTCTCTCTCTGCCGAGCCTCACGCTTCTTTCAAATGATTTTAGTCCGGTGCTTCGGTCTATCCATATACATTTCCAATCTCATGGCTCATAAACTATTAGCAAAATGGTTTCATTATTCACCTCTGTATCCTAGGAAAGGGAGAGACGACAGGCCGGGGGGAGGGGGGCAGTCGGACACCAGTTAACAAAGGTGCCGCGTTCAAATCGTGGCCCATGCCGCCTTCTTCAAGTGCCAAATCGGGTCCTTTTCTAAGGTTTTGCAGCCGGATCCCCTGTGACTCTCCTTCTTCCTCCCGTTTCTCTCCCTCTCCATCCATTCCTGTCTTCTCCTTTCGACGCTTTGGCCTCTCCACAGACCAGATGGATGGGAGGATACTGCAGGTCCATTATTTGCTGCCTTAGGTTTCCTGGATAAGGCACGGCCTTTCGATAGGACGCACGGAATTAATTGCTTCGAACTGCAGTCCCTGGCCCCTTTTTGGGTGGTGTTGGTGATGAGGTCGCTGCTTGTCATCCTGAAACCAAACCGCGTTAGGACAGGAGCCTCAGGGACACCTCCCAAAGTAGACTAGCAGCCCGGGGTGGCGCTCAGATGTACAAGTCCGACCCGGTTCCTTCAAGCTGGGAAGTGGCAGCAGCATGGGTGCCTATGGACCAGGACCGCCGGAGAGAAGACTCAGAGTCCTGCGCGGGGGTCTTTGTCTAATTCTAAAAGATGGCAAAAATACATCCTTAAAGGCACCCACTTAAGTGAAAGCAGATAGACGCAAAGTGTCACGGAGCTCAAGGGCGGCCTGAGGCCAAGCACCGGGGGGCAAGGGGCAGCTGATGACGCAGCCTCGGGAGCCTCTGAGGGGGTGGCCTTCCCTGGACAAATATTTTATCTAAAAATCGTGTCGGCGTACCACCTCGCTCTCGCCGCCCCCACACTCACTTCCCCTACACTTTTTTTTTTTTTTTTCCAAATGCAAAGGACGCTGGGCCGCTGAGCCACGGTAATGAGCCTGGCAGTGGAAACCAATCTGCCCGGGAGAGCCCCCTGCGCGGTGGCTGGCGCCTGGCCGGGGACTCCCCGCGCGCGCTAGGTCACCGCGCCGCGCGGCCGCTGCTTAATATACATGGGGTGGGAACGCGGGGAAGCGCATCTCCGCGCCCGTCCGTCCTGGAGAGAGAGAGAGGGAAAAAAAATCAATTTGCTATTTATTTTTGAAATATATAGATTTGAGGAAAAAAATTTTCCAGGCCGGACCCCCTTTCAGAATGGCGAGCCCACACTGAATTATGGCTTTAATGACTTTCCCCCGTTTGCCATAGCTATATCGCGCCCAGGGCGCGGTGGGGTGGAGGTTTTTGGGGAGGGGCGTTCCATTCAAGGATCTTCAAAAAGCGTCGCCTTATGTGTTAATTGCATGCTGTTACGCACATCTGGGACTGCGTGCTGACCACCTCGGACCAACTTTTAATTAACACAGTGACCTGGCAGAGCCGCAGACGCGCAGCCTCCCCAGCGCGAGGCGGAGATGAGCGGAGCGGGCCCGCGCAGGCAGATGCGCGAGGAGCTGCCGGTGCCCAGGGCGGAGGGTGCTAATTGCACCGCTCCCCTCGGCCTGGGAGCGATTTCCTCCTCTCACCTCCTGGAAAACAAAGACAGAGTAAAGGACCGGCCCCTGCCGCAGGCTTCTCGGATCCTGGGAAGAGGCAAGACCCGCAAAAGCCTCGCTAAGTAGCCTGATTTGGGCCTGAACTGAGCTCTGGAGCCCAAGTTCCTGGATCTTGAAAATTTGCAAACTCGGGGATCCTGGAGCTTCCTTCTTTCCCACCCCGGGTCAAGCCACGCACCCCAAGGCCGATCCCAGGGAGGGCGGGATAGGCGTCTTTTGGCACTCGTCGCGGCCTCAGGCAGCTCTTGGCAAAGGAAATGAGCGGCTATTTTTAGGATGCCAGGCCCTTTCCAGGGGTGCAGGCCATTTAGCGGAGCCCTCCAGGCGAAGGCCAGTCAAACCCCTGAGGGGCAGAAAGGAACCCGGAGCGCAGCTTAGAAGATACCACCTGCAGATATGCAATTTCACCCTAAGTAATTCCATTCAGAATTGATGGTGTTTCCCTGAGTGGTGCCTTCAAAACGAGTGCCGAGCCTGCCTCCCTGTTGAGCACAAATGCGGGTTAATCCCCAGACACGCACTCATTTTCTCTTTCCAAGCCTAATCTCAGCCGACCTGCTCATGTAAGTGCTTCAAGCCTATAAAAAAATGTCAGCGCGCCGCGCCTTCTCGCAGTCATAAAGACGCCGGAGCGAATCACTCCCCAGTTACCGTTTAACGTCCCCTCCAGGTAACTGCTGACGTTTCTTGTTTGACTTTTCATCTCCAACACAGAACTTTTCAATAAATTCGCAAAGGCGTCCCGACGAGAAGGACATGCCACAACACTTCTATACACCTATAGACTCTGAGGCGCTGCTTTGCAAAATTTAAGGAGACAAGATTTATCCCCAAATTATTGCTCCTCTCTCTCCTTTCTTATCCACTTAACAAACAAGTCGGGAAAATTTGAAACTAAAGGAAGAGAAAAGATAAAGACAAGAAAACAAAGTTCTATTATTTGGTGTGGTATTCCTCTCCTTTGATCGAGGTCTTCTTTATATTCAGGAAAAGATGTAATCAAAGCACATCTTTAGTCCAGGAGAAACCCATCAGTAAATTACAATGACCCTCTGAAAGATAAGGCCTTTGGAAAGTCAGCACGGGCACTGGCCCGGCAGCTTTCTGTGGGGTTTTAGTGGACCTCAGCGCCTTATTTCAGCTCACAAATTGATCTGTAGAATTGAAGCCATACACCTGATATCCAGGGAAAACAAGGGTTGGTAACTCCAGCTGCTGGTCTTTGATTTACTCTGCCTGGGAAGATGTATGCTAGGGTGTTTTGATAAGGGAGAAAAAAAGGAGTCAGCAGTTTGATTTGGAAACTCTTTTATTGCTAAATGTGGTTGCAGGTTTAAACTAAAGAGCGTGT